CCCCTGACTGCTGGAGCCCCGTCCTGTGCTAGTCCCAGCCAGGTCAGCAAACCTTTCCTCAGATGTCCCCGAGAGCACAAGGAGAAGCAGTCCCACCTTCTCCCTGTCCTCTGTCCTGTCCCGTGCCATTCCCCGAGGTCCCCCCGCTGCTGTGGACCCCAGCCCCCCCCCCTTCCGCCGGGGCCGGGGGGGGGGGGCGAGGGGAGCGCTCTCAATTAGAGCTGGGGCATGACTGAAATCCTGATGGGGAGAAGTGTGCTCTGCAGCGTATTAAAAAGATAAACCAGCGCGAGCAGAGCAGGAAAACCCTCGGGCTTGCAGCTAGAAAGGCGAGAAAGCATCGTCTGCTTCCTAAACCCAGCCTGGGAAAGGAGCTCGTGAGCCCGGGTAGAGATGCTAATAATTATAAACTGCCTTCACGGGGGTGCCTCTCGTCCAGCACGTGAATTAACGCACCGGGGGTGTCCTGGGGATGCTGCAGCTTTCTGAAAAGCTCAGCTGAGGGGTGTGGGAGGGGAAGGCCAGTGAACTCACGGGCCCTTCTTCCCTGTCAAGGACACAACAGCATCTTACTGCTGGAAAGCATCAACAGGCATTGCCTTTGTCGTGTGCATCTTCCCCGAGACGAGATGGGATGAGGAATCTCCTGTCACGCGGGATAATGCAAATAGAAGAGGGCATTGCAGGCTTCTCTCCTGCTCAGGAAAGATGTTTATTCATCTTTTTTCCTCCCCCAGACTCCGGTCCATGATACAATTGCTATTTAAAAATGAATAGCTGGCTGCACCCGCGGCTGAGCAGGCACAGCGTGGTGGGTTTCTATTTTTAGGCTCGGCACGGCTGGCGACGTGGAGGTGTCGTGATGAGCCGAGAGGCTGAGGGGATTTTTTAGGGGATGCTCTCGCCGCAGGGATGCGGGGGCAAGTGCATGAGTACAGCACCCAGGCTTTTTTTTTTTTTTTCTTCAAGCTGCTTTTTTTTCTCCTGATCCCTCCTCCTCCTTCCTCCTGCTGCTCAGTCATTTTCTCCTCACTCCCCCACCTTTCCTTGGGTGCTGCTGGCAGGGAGACAGTCAAACACCTTTCGGAACACCGTGAGCAGCCTGGATGCAGGCAGCATGGAAAGAGGAAAAAAACATTATTGCACAAATAAATGCCCTTAATCCTTGATTAGGCTTTTTTTTTTTGATCCCTCCTCCTCCTTCCTCCTGCTGCTCAGTCATTTTCTCCTCACTCCCCCACCTTTCCTTGGGTGCTGCTGGCAGGGAGACAGTCAAACACCTTTCGGAACACCGTGAGCAGCCTGGATGCAGGCAGCATGGAAAGAGGAAAAAAACATTATTGCACAAATAAATGCCCTTAATCCTTGATTAGGCTTTTTTTTTTTTTTTTCTACCAGCCAATGAAGTTTATAGTCCTGCTGCCTGCCTGGGCTGTCATAGATTGTGCGGAAGGACGGTCCTGTTCCACGCTCGGTGGCATGTACGTGTTTGCGCAGATTGAGATCTGCATCGGGTCCCAGGCGCCCGATCAGCATCTCTACTCCCTGCTGTCTGTCCCTCCCGTCAGCCTTCTCAGACCAAAACTACCTGAAGTTCAAGTTACCCCTTGGAAGGACAGCCAGGGTCTCAGCCAGGGCTGCTTCCAGGGTAAATCAGGGTCCTGTTCCCTAACTGACCACCTGGGAATCCCCAACCTCTGTCCAAAAAGAGGCTTGAAATATAGAATGGCAGGAAGAACCGGATCCCAGGTCTGCAGGATTCTGTACGGGACTGGGGAGCTCTGGGCTGCAATTGTCTCTGCCCTCTGCCTTGTCCTCCCGAATTGTGGGGGCACGGGAAAGGCAGCAGCTCTCGGAGCTTGACTTCTGAAGGCTGGTGCACGCGTTACAAATCTCCTAGGATATTCGGGAAGCTGGAAGGGAACAGCCCATCACTCTTGCCTTTTAGGATGTGGGATTCCCTGGTTATTTGTTGTTAGGGTTAATCAGGGTGGTCGTGCTGGCTGTCTCTAGTGGTCTGTTTGAGCTGTGTTTGATCGATGCAGAGCTGGCATGCCCTGGTGAGACTTCTAAGATCAGTGCTTCTGCTGATATTGCGTGGAAATGAACCGTGTTAGGTGGATTTGGAGATGGTGCAACTTCAAGGAAAACCAGTGTGAGCTCAGGACCCTTCTGAGAGCAGGTGCGGAGGAGATCGATCCAGCGATGAGCACGGCTGGGAAGCAGTGAGTGCCAGCCCTGCACACAGAACAGAGAAGAGGCTCAGCATCGCTTTGTGTTACTTGTGTTCTTCCAGGAGCGGTCTCCTCCCCATCGCTGGTTTATGAGCAGGATGGCGTTTCCCGGGCAGGGGCTGGTTCGACAGGAGCTGTTCTTGCGCAGGGTCTTTGCACAGCGATGGGCATACTTGGGGACCACAGGGATTTTCTGGGGCTAGAGCTATTCCTGCTTGGCTGATGCTTTGGTTTTCCCCCGTGTCAGTACCAGTGAGAAGGGCAAGCCCACCATCGACCACCTGCAGCCATGGAAGGAGGCGTGCAGCTTCTCAACCGAGATGGCCACAGCATCTCCCACAACTCCAAGCGGCACTATCACGACGCCTTCGTGTGCATGAACCGCATGCGCCAGCGCGGGCTGCTCTGCGACATCGTGCTCCATGTGGGCACCAAGGAGATCAAGGCCCACAAGGTGGTGCTGGCGTCCTGCAGCCCGTACTTCCACGCCATGTTCACAAGCAAGTAGCTCCTCTCTTCTCCATGGCCAGGCTCTCCCTGCTCCTCAAACCCTCTCCTCCCTGCAGACCCCTTCCCTTCCTGTCCCCCTCCCTATTCTCACTGCCCTACCCCATGGAAGTATGATGCCCGTCTATCATCTCTGCGAGCAAGCGCAGTGATATTCCTCTTTTGGCTCCCTCCCACGACGCCATGTGCCCGTAACCCCCCGCACAGGTATCTTGATGCCCATCCTGCAGATGCAGACCCCATTCCCTAGAGTATACTCCTTGCTAAGAGGTGGGCAGGAGACTTTCCTTGGCTCTGTTGCTGGGCTGTGGAGGTGGATGCGGCTTGTTCCGTGCATGGTCAAGTCTTCCTACCTGGAAACAATCCTGCTGCAGGACTTTGCTCATGTCTAATATCTGTGTTGCCCCAGATGAGATGAGCGAGAGCCGCCAGACCCACGTCACGCTGCACGACATCGACCCGCAGGCTCTGGAGCAGCTGGTGGAATACGCTTACACGGCCGAGATCGTGGTGGGCGAGGGGAACGTGCAGGTAGGGGCTTCCCCCCAAATAGCTCTTCTTCTTCTTCTTCTGCCAGGGCTGGGAAGGGGCTGGGAATGGCTCCTCAGAGCACTATGCAGTGGCCAGCTCTGGTCCTGAGCATCTGCTCTTTTCCTGCCATTTCCTGGCCCTGTGGGGCATTATGGGCATCCTCAGCTGTTCCTTAGCTTGGTCCTGTTGGAAACAAAGGATGCTTTGTCCTCTGTGCGCTTGTGTGCCTGAAGGTGCTCAGTAAGCCCATTCTGTTATTGACTCGCAGTGAAACGAGGGTGAAAATGGTTCCCTTGCCCTGGAAACTCTCTTTTCCCCCCACTCTTTTCCACTGCCAGACACTTCTTCCTGCTGCCAGCCTGCTTCAGCTGAACGGTGTGCGGGATGCTTGCTGCAAGTTCCTTCTCAGCCAGCTCGACCCATCCAACTGCCTGGGGATCCGGGGTTTTGCTGACACGCACTCCTGCAGCGACCTCCTCAAGTCTGCGCACAAATACGTCCTCCAACACTTTGTGGAGGTGTCCAAGACAGAGGAGTTCATGCTGCTGCCTCTTAAACAGGTGAGGTCCTGATGGGAGTCTGAGGGTACGGATGTGTGCTCTCAAAAGCCCAAGGAACCTGCACCGAGGGGACAGGGTTTGGCAGGGGATTTGTACCCAGATTCTGTGCTTTGCTCCCCTCTGTTCAATGTGGGAAGAGTGCTCTCAGGAGGCGAGCTTAATCCCATGGGAAATGGGATGGGAGGGTAGCACAGAGGATAATGCTGTCGCTGGTGTTCACCACGTGAGCTCTGAGCACGCTGCCCTCTCTCCGGGAGCACAGGGCAAGGAGTAAGAGCTGGCTGCCCTGGTCACAGAGCTGGGATGTTTAATTCAGAGCTCAGCTTGTGTTCCCTGCTGCTCTGCACGTGGTGCTGGTACGGCCCCAGCTCATCCCTGCACGTGCTCTGCCCAGGGCATTTCCAGCCCTTGCTCTGCATCGCCCGACCCTGTGCGGTCCCTCCCCAGGATACAGACCCTTCCCTCCACCCGTTCTCAGGGCAGCAGGGTGATGGCAGCAAGAGGAGAGTATATATCTCCACTTGCTCCAGCTCCGTTGTCCTTGGTGGGTGTGTGCTGGGAACAGTCAGGGACCTGGCTCTGTCCCATGAAATGTTGGAAGGATGCATGCAAGCAGCAGCGTCTGCCCGGTCCCGCTGATGCTGATTGGCAGTGTCAGGCATTGCAGCAGCTTCCCAAGGGGGAGGAGGAGCCGAGGAGGATGATGAAGGACAGAGCTGGCTCCAGCAAGGAGGGGAGAGGCAGAGCTGCACCTGCCTGGTTTGGGGTTTGCTCTTTGGATCCTTCTGTGTCCAGCGAGACAGAGGAGCTGTACACCCCTCAACCGCCAGCATCTGCTGGAGATGGGGGCTCTGCTGGACCAGTTACATGGGGGATGAACATGTCCTTTCCTCCCAAACCATGCCAACAGACCCTCGCCCTTCCCACCTCGCTCTGCAGGTGCTGGACCTCATTTCTAGCGACAGCCTCAACGTGCCGTCAGAGGAGGAGGTGTACCGGGCTGTGCTCAGCTGGGTCAAACACGACGTGGACAGCAGGAGACAGCATGTCCCCAGGGTGAGTCTGCTGGGGAAGGTGACCTGGTTCAACCTGCCAGCTCCAAGCACCTGGTCTGGTGGGTACGTGGCTGAAGGAAACTGCAGGGTGGCCAGGGCCAGGGCCAGCAGGTCCCTGCCGTACCACTCCCAGTCCAGGCAGAGACCACGTCTCTGCAGAGACATTAAGGCTGAATCGCTGCGTGTGCCTTGATGCCCTTTGTCACCGGGTGCCTGTCCTGCCGAGCCAGCAGGATGACATCTCCAGGTGGAGTCAGCCTTGCCAGGGTCCCTGGGCTTTGCAGGGGGGATGCGGGGACAGCACTGGGACGGACCCTTCCCACCTGCCGACGGGGCGCAACTCCTCCCCCCTCAGCTCATGAAGTGCGTGCGGCTGCCCCTGCTGAGCCGGGATTTCCTCATGAGCAACGTGGACACCGAGCTGCTGGTGAGGCATCACTCGGAGTGCAAGGACCTGCTGATCGAAGCCCTCAAGTACCACCTCATGCCGGAGCAGAGAGGGGTCCTGAGCAACAGCAGGACGCGGCCGCGGCGCTGCGAGGGGGCCAGCACCGTGCTCTTCGCCGTGGGTAAGACCCCGCCAGGCGCCCAGGGATGTGCAAACCCCTTCCCAGGGCCTCGGAGTGCCGTTTGCTCTGTTTGCCGTCCCGTGCGCAGGTGGAGGGAGCCTGTTCGCCATCCACGGGGACTGCGAGGCTTACGACACGCGGACGGACCGGTGGCACATGGTGGCCTCCATGTCGACGCGCAGGGCCAGGGTGGGCGTTGCGGCCATTGGGAACAAGCTGTACGCCGTGGGCGGGTAAGGAGGGCACGGAGCCGCGTGCGGGGAGCTGGGAGGGATGCGAGCCGGTGGCGAGAGCAGCACAGAGCTGCTCCGGGAGCAGGGGCTGCCGGCAGAGCATCCTAGGGCTGGCCTCCGGATGAAGCAATGCGGTATCTCTGGGTTACTAACTGCAGGAGTAGTAACTGCAAACTACTTGCAGTGCTGAGCAGCTCTTGGTTTGACAGTGGGTCCATCCTGGGCTTGTGCTGTGTCCTCCCATTTGCCTTAGCCCTGTGCTGGTAGGAGCCTGCTGACCCCCCAGCCCACCTGCACCCCAGCGTGCGGGACCCTCCGAGACCTGCTTTCTCTGCAGACCCCCCGAGAGCTCTGCTCAGGGCTCTGCTCTTTCTCTGCAGACGCCCCGAGAGCTCAGCTCAGGGCTGTCCTCTTTCTGCAGACACTTTGGTGTGCTCTGCCTTGAGGAATCTGGGCAGAGAGCAGGGGTGGCAATGGGGACCCAAGCCCAGCTGAGCCATCTGGGCTCTTGCTCATCTTCAGAGCTCTAGGAGCGGCCCCCAGCCCCACCTGCAATCCCAGCTCTGACAGGTTGTCCCTTTTTCTCCCTACAGCTACGATGGGACCTCTGATTTGGCCACGGTGGAGTCCTACGATCCTGTCACCAATTCCTGGCAACCCGAGGTGTCCATGGGCACCAGGAGGAGCTGCCTGGGTGTCGCAGCGCTTCACGGGCTTCTCTATGCTGCTGGGGGCTACGATGGGGCCTCCTGCCTGAACAGGTAGGGGATTGCCTTGCTACAGGCTCCTCCTCTACTCTTGCATGCCCCGTCCTTGGCGCTGGGTGCCTGGGAGCCCACGAGGCCACATCCTGACCGATGGACTGGCCCCAGAGTAGGTGTCTTGCAATCCAGCTCTGTCTTGCAGTGTCTTTGGCCTGGGCAAAGTTTTTTCAGGGGAAAAATCATTTTGTAGCCCTCTACCACAACAGAACACAGCCTTTGTCCGTTCTTCCCTTCGTTTTCCCTGTCTATTCCTGAGCTTCCTTGGGAGCTGCCCCTGAGGGCCTGTGTCAAAGAGCTTTGATCTGGGCTTTGCCAGTGTCACACCTTTGTGTTCCTGTGTCCCTGCCTGCTGCAGCGCAGAGCGGTACGACCCTCTGACAGGCACCTGGACATCCATCGCTGCCATGAGCACCAGGAGACGCTACGTCCGGGTGGCAACGCTAGGTGGGTGACGGCGTGAGGACCTGCCGGACTTCTGCGCAGACTGGCTCTGGCATTGCTGGTGGTTCCTTTTGATGTTCTTCTGTTCTGGTTCCTGCTCCTTCCTAGCTTCCCTAGCTGTGAGCCTGGGTAGCCCAGCCATCACTCTGCCATGTCCTGACATACTCCAGCCTCTGCTCTCCTCCTCCATCTCTCTCGTAATTGGGTTTCATCACATTCTGGAGGCCCACAGCTTGTTCCTCAGCCCCTTGGTGCCTCTTCTACCTTGGAGCAAGGGGGCTGGCTGTGGATGGTCCCCTCTGCCGAGAAATGAAGAGTCAAGTGTATTACTCCTTCATTATGAAGGAGGACAGTCTTTTTACTGAGGATCCCAGCAGTAGTGGGGGGTCAAAACTGTCTCTACCAGGGGTGTCACGACGTTAGGCGCAATGCTGTGATGTCTCCTGCCTGCATGGAGTGAGCCCTGTCCTTTGAGGAGGGTGCAGTGTGGATGCAGGAGGATGCAGCATGGATGCAGGAGGGAGGATGCAGCGTGGATGCAGGAGGGAGGATCATGGATGCAGGCAGGAGGATGCAGCATGGATGCAGGAGGATGCAGCGTGGATGCAGGAGGGAGGGTGCAGC